AAAAAAAAAAAAAAAAAAAAAAAGAAAATGATCCTCTTGCAAAAAGTAATCTGATGGTCTAGAGTGAACTGAGACATGGAAAACAAACAAGGAGTCTTGGTGGTTCTTTTGGTTTTGTTTTGTATTTTTTGAGACAGAGTCTCACTTGATCACCTTGAGTAGAGTGCCCTAGCATTATAGCTCACAGACACCTCAAACTCCCAGGCTTGAGCAATCCTCTTGCCTCAGCCTCCCCAGTAGCTGGGACTACAGTTGTGCACCACCATGCCTGGCTAGTTTTTCTATTTTTAGTGGAGATGGGGTCTTACTCTTGTTCAGGCTGGTCTCCAACTCCTGAGCTCAAGAAATCCCCCTGCCTCGGTTTCCCACAGTGCTAGGACTATAGGCGTGAGCTACTATGCCTGGCCAAGGAGTCTTGTTTTTGTCCAAGTTCTGGCCAATTTTCTGTGTGACCAGTGGAAAGTCTTGTACGTCCCCTGGGAATGGGCTCAATATCTGTAAACCTATGAGGTTGGGAGACATGAAGTCTCTGGCCCTTTCAGCTGTAGTATGATTAATAGGGACCCAACTGGCAATCACAAGTAATGCAAGGTTGAATTCTGGTTGAAAGTTTGATTTCCCCCGAGAAAATGGGTTGCTATGGATAAAAATGTATCTATGGCAGATCATTTCCCCAGTAACAAGTTTAGTGTATTTTGAGCAATGTTTGGAAGCCTTCACGAATTCTTTCAATGAGAATTTGAATATATGAGGCTATAGAAACAGAATTTTATTTTATTTGCACTGGTAAATTGCAATCTAGCTGAATTTTCTTAACATAAATTATGAGATTTCCATCAGTCTCAGAAAGACTGAAAGACAAGCTTCCAGTCCAAATGCCCATGGTAAGCAGAATTAAGATGTCCCATAAAATGTCATGCCCTTCGGTGTCCCCACCAAGTTTCTGGGCCTGTGAATATGATGGATATTAATCCTGTGATCATATTACATAACTCTGTTGACTTTAGGAAATAGAGAGTACACTGTTGGGCCTTGCTTAATCACATGAGCCCTTCAAAGGCAGCTTTCTGGTGTAAAGGAAAGCAATATATATTTTTGTTGTTAACCTTAGATCCAGTAACTTTGTTTAATCTCCCACTAATTCTAATGATTTGTCACTGGATTCTCTAGGATTCCTAGGTGAAAATTATAACTGTTGTTGGTTAGAGCTCTTGGCTGAACAAGTGGTGACAGTGGCTATCCTTATTTCATTCTTTTTTTGGGGGGGTCTGTAGCCGGGTTTGAACCTGCCACCTCTGGTATATGGGGCTAGTGCCCTAATCATTTCAGCCACAGGCGCCACCCTTTTTTTTTTTTTTTTTTTTAAGATAGAGTTTCAAGCTCTACCCTGGGTAGAGTGACTTGGTGTCACAGCTTACAGCAACCTCAAACTCTTGGGCATAAGCTATTCTCTTGCCTCAGCCTCCCAGGTAGCTGGGACTACAGGCGCCCACCACAATGCCCAGCTATTTTTTGGTTGCAGTTGTCACTGTTGCTTAGCAGGCCCGGGCCAAGTTCGAACCCTCCACCCTAGGTGTATGTGGCTGGAGCTACAGGTGCCGCCCGGACACTTTCTTAACATATAAAAAATATATTTATACATCAGCCCAGACTGTTAGTAAATAGGAAAATACTAAAGACATTCCCACTGATGTCAGGAACAAGACAAGGCCGCCTTTGTCACCACTACTACTTAACACTGTATTGTAGGTCTGAGCCACTCAGACAAGAAGAATGCAGAAACATAAAATGGCAAAGCAAGATATAACACTACCTCCATCTACGGATGAAATGATTTTATACTAAAAAGAAACTCAAGATAAACCAAATCCAAACAATGGACATTATATATGTAAAAAGATGCTCAATCTTGCTTAGAAGAAATGAGAAAATTAAAACCACACTGTCACCATTCCTCACCTACCAGATAAAAACACTCTCAAAGTTTATTAAAGCACTTTGTGGGTGAGATTGTAGGTAAACACATACTCTCATACACCACTGGGGAAAAGGGAAAAATTGTACAATATCATATGGAGGAGAATTTGTCAGTGCCAAAAATATATTACCCCCTCTGATTCCTTAATTCCACGTCTAGGAATCTATTACACTGATCAGCCAGGCCACATACAAAGTGCCTACAAACATAGTTACTTATTGTGGCATGGTTTCAGTAGCCAAAGTCTGGAAACTTCTCAAAAGTCTTGCAAAAGGCCCTGGTTGAATAAAGTGTGGTGCTGGCTGTGGGTGGGATGCCATAGCTATGCTGCTGTACAGAAGATGAGGACAGACTCGATTTACTAGCACGGAGAGAGCTTCAGAACACAAAAGCAATGTGTTCCTTTGAATAAGAAAAGGAGAAAGAAGTGCAAATATGTCCATAAGCATTTGCTAACATTTGCAAAAGAAAAAAAAACCACTGGATGCTAAATAGGAAAATAAAAAATTGTTTCGGTATAGGAAGCAGAAGGGAACGGGTAGAGGGAGAAGGGTTTGATGCCAGATTTCTCTACTGCTTCAACATCTGAAATTCATTACTTAGCCCACATAATTAAATGAAACATAAATAAGTGTAAATAAAACACATTTTAAAAAATATATCAATGAATTGAATTGTAGTGCCTGCCGTATTTGGCTTATGAAATGTGCATTCCTAGTTTGGATTGAATAGGTGGAGGGAGGGAGTCAGGCTTCCTTCACACCTGCTTGGGTCTGGAAGGTCAGATCTGCATGAATAGGTCCTGGAAGACATTCTGTCTTCCCGTGTCTCCCCCATAATCACAGAGGTCATTAGAGACAATTTTACATCCTGGGGAGATGAGTTGTCTTTGGGCACCGGCAGTGGTAAACAAAGCAATTTCATAGATGGAAGTTTCAAATCTTGCAAATAGTTCCCAACTGGTAATACCAATTTATTGAGCACTTATTATGTGTCAGAAACTAATGCACAAACTTTATAATTATGCAGTAAAATAGCCCAATAACATAGTAAGTGGGCCCCCAAACTCACATAAAAAGAAGAGTCATGTTATTTGGAGGTGAATGAAATGACTGGGGTAAGAGCTACTGGTAAAAGAGGAGCCAGCTAATCCCCAATTGTCTTATATCTTAGTTTCCTTCACTGTAGGGTACAGTACTGCAGAGTTTCATCTATGTAATACATTGGCTGCCAACTCAGAACTCAGCCCTTGCTTTCTCCTGGTGAACAGGGGCTTCATATTATTCAGGTATTGACTGGAGAAAGGTACCAGTATTTTTAGCTCTGAGGTGAATCCTGATTAGTCCAAAACCACTGGGAGATCCCACATCCTTTGCCAGGGATTGGTTTACCCAAAGAATGTGACACACACATCTGGCTGATATCAGGAGAGGGAGCTGGCTGTGGGGAAAGAGATTCCCTTGGTGTTGTAAAGGAAGCTTAGCAATTAACAATCAATTAACAATTGCGATTAGTTAGCAATTAACAACCAGTTAGCAATACCAGATTGCCTGCTTGAAATTGGTTGAGAAGGTAGATCTTAGCTGTTCTCAAGACACACATACACACAAACATACACACACACGAAAATGGTAATTATGTGAGACGATGGATATGTTTATTAGCTTGATCACGGCCATTATTTCACAACATTTATGCACATCAAAGCATCAAGTTGTAGACCTGAATTTATATAATATTTATTTGAAATTATACCTCAATAAAGATAGCAGGAATAGGAAAAAAAAACCCTCAGGAAGTAGTAGCCTCTTCCTCTGTTTAACAGTTTTCCTGCCCCCAAAGGACAGCCAGAACAGCACAGGTATGTGGCCATCAGTCCCAGTGAGCACAGGCACGTGGCCGTCAGTCTCAGTGAGCACAGGCATGTGGCCATCAGTCCCAGTGAGAGCAAGTCTGAGGCCGAAACCCCTGGAGCCTGCCTCCCTGCAGAATTCTTGTTACAAAGGATAAGAAGTTTCCTTCTTGTGGGAGCTGCTAGAGTGGGTTGCCAGTTACTTGCAGCCAAAAGTATCTGATCTGATACAAACTCTATGAGTTAGAACTGATTGTAATCTGCAAGGTATACATGAGGCAACCGAGGCATGGGGAAAGTGAGGAACTTAAGGAAAGAACTTACCTTAAAGCCATGGTAAACCAGACCACGGCCAGAATCAGTGTGTTCATTCTGTAGGGCCCCATCACACAGTACAGAGCGTTGTCCCAGACCTATAACCCAAGTCGGAGAAGGATTGTTAGAGGCTAGAATATGCAACTTGAAAGAGCTTATTTCTCACATTTTCTAATACGCTGCCTGGGAACCCATGGAGAGAACAGGCACTCAATTATCCACCCATTTGGAGAGCGATTCCATCCAAACACAAGGGAGATGCTTCCCTTTTCACGGGCCTCACGCGATGACAGCCGGATGGCATTTTCCCTGGGGACACGATGTTCCACACACGTAACTGAAAACAAACTGAGTTAGGATTTTTAAGCGCTGAAAAATCTTGAGCAGTGGTTTCTCTCCCTGCCTATGGGGCAGAGCTGATATTCCAAACATTTATCAACCATACGCTGTGACTACCATCCAGTCTCAACAGACTGGCCAGTGAGCTGCCCCCGTGCCGGACAGCTGCCCTGCTCCCACGTGCAGGAGCTCCAGAGAAACGGCATTGCCCTTCATGAAGAATCTTTCTCAGAAATATGAACAAACCCCAAGAGGATGTTTATTTCACTCCATTCTTCCTTCCTATGGATTATTTAAGAAGTTGCTAGACAGAAGGATGTTTACTCAGACTAGAAATTTCACCTACATTCAGAATCCCTGTCTTGGGAAAGAAGCTAAAAGAAAAGAAAAGGCTTAGAGAGTTTGTGGCTGAAAGGCACCAGCGAGTTAGAGGCCGGCGTGGGCCGGTATCCAACATCCCGCACAGGGCCACTTCCTCCCCACCACGCCGACTTGAGAGTCTTCATTCTTTATCCACTAACGTGACTCCCACAAAGCCACCCTCTCATGCAACCCATGTTCCCAATCAGACCTGCTTGAAAATGGTGTTGAATCTGACCAGCCAGCGCTGATACCAAGTTCCTGTTGCACTTTGGATCTCAATGAATTCATCCATTTGCTTGGGAGTTTTGATGTTGGAAACCTGAAAGTCAAAGATAAGGAATCTTACCCCATGTGGTGTCAGAATTTCCTTTGCAAAGTTTAATTGAATGTAACTGATTTTACTAACTGAAAGTGTCTTTGAGGACCCTCTAATTCAATGATTCTTTCTTTCTTTCTTTTTTTTTTTTTTTTTGAGACAGAGTGCTATGGCGTCACAGCTCACAACAACCTCAAACTCTTGGGCTTAAGCGATTCTCTTGCCTCAGCCTCTCAAGTAGCTGGGACTAAAGGCGCCCGCCACAACACTCAGCTATTTTTGTTGTTGTTGTTGTTATTCCTGCAGTTCTCATTGTTGCTTAGCTGGCCCAGGCTGGGTTTGAATCTGCCAACCTCGGTGTACATGGCTGGTGCTGTAACCACGGTGCTACAGGCACTGACCCTAGTTCAATGATTCTTTTTTTTTTTTTTTGTAGACACAGAGTCTTATCTTATCACCTTCAGTAGAGTGCTGTGGTGTCACAGCTCACAGCAACCTCCAACTCCTGAGCTTAGGCAATTCTCTTGCCTCAGCCTCCCAAGTAACTGGAACTACAGGCACCTGCCACAGTTCCCAGCTATAGGCACCTGTCGCAACACCCGGCTATTTTTTGTTGCAGTTTGGCTGGGCTGGGAGTCCGCCAACCCCAGTATGAGGCCGGTGCCCTACTCACTGAACCACAGGTGCCACCCTGGTTCAATGAAACTTAACCAAAGGCGTGCATGGCATCTCTTAGTGATCTTTCTCAAGTGGATACATTCCACTGCAGACGAAAAGAACCAGAATCTTTTCACTAAATCACTTTGGGAAATTTATATTAGTGGGTCCAAATACACTGAATTGCCTTTTATATCTGATTTGCCCACAGTAGAGTTGATGCCACCCTAAAATTCACAACTCTGCCCTTATTGTGTATTAACAACACAGAAGTCTAGAACCCGTGTAGGCAATGGTGGAAGGAAGGGGTATTGCTACTTGAGATTTTGTTTTGTTTTGACGGAGTCTCATGCTGTTGCCCTGGGGAGAGTGCTGTGGCATCATTACAGCTCACAGCAACCTCAAACTCTTGGGTTCAAATGACCCTCCTGCATCATCCTCCTGAGTAGTTGGGGCTACAGGCACCTGCCACAATGCCTGGCTAGTTTTTCTATTTTTAGTAGAACTGGGGGTTTGCTTTTGATCAGACTGATCTCAAACTCCTGAGCTCAAGGGCTTCTCCGCCTCAGTCTCCCAGAGTGCTAGGATTACAGGCATGAGCCACTGTGCACAGCCAGCTTAAGGTATTTTAAAAACACAAGACAATAAGAGAAATCCTGGCCTCCCTGGTAGAAATCAAAGAGATAAGGAGTGGGGATAAGGTTGTATATCTCAGTGTTCCCCTCAAGGCTGTGGAAATGTTAATATGCTCAATGTGTGGAGGCAGCCCCAGTAAGTAATCCTGGCCCAAGGCAGTAACTAGTTAATGAAATGTTTAAAGCAACCATTGACGTGCATAACTAATCACCCTCTGAAGGGTATTCCTGCTCACAGAAACTCTGCTAGTCAAGTTATCAAAGTGCAGGGTGTGAACAACCTCCCCGAATTCACAGAAGAAATGGAAGGGCACACTCAATTCAGAAACAGCTTCCATCACCGACTCCAACACACCTTTTATCTAAGGTATAAAAATGAGTCATATGAGCATCTCCATCTCTTTCTTCAAAGGACTGAGAACATGAGGAGATGCGTTGGGGACTGAGGGATCCACCTGAAGAAAAATGGTCCCTGGATGTGAACCTGGACTCGTATTTCCTAAGTGCTAGGTCTAAGACAGCATAACTATGCTTCTCTAAACCCTAAAAATAGTGGCTCTTAGACCTTAGGAGGGCCAGGAACTCATCGGAGAATCTGGTGCAAACTCAGGCTCTGTTCCCTGAAATTTCTCATACATAAGCCCACTGTGAGTGCCCTGGACTCACCATCCTGCCATCCACAGTTACAACACAGCAGGCTCTGCGGTGTAACTCTTGGCTGGAGCTGGGCTTCAAGCCCCACAGATATTACAAATCCTAGTTCCAGCCAAAGCAGGCCAGAGGAGAAGCTGGCACCAAATTCAGAAGCACCTTAAAAACCAGCACAAAGCATTAAGACATTCACTCAAAAGAAGTTTTTTCTTTCTTTGCAGCTCAGGGGGAAAAATAACACCCTTTCTCTATGGATTTGGGAGTGGGCGTGTTGACAATTTCAAGCACAATTACCCTAATTTATAATTAATGAGAATACTTATCTTAATTAGAATATGGCCTGTGTCACCCAAACCCTGCAGAACATACATTCACAGCAGAATACGTAGACTTCTTCCCTTTCCAAAGGTGTCACTCAGGACACCTGGCAGGTGGGAGTTCAGAAGCTCCTGAGGCATCTAGCAAAGTTGGTAGGACCCAGGGCTCCCAGGAGGCACCCAAGTTAGCGTGAGTGCAAGCTGAGATCCTGGCCTGCCCTGAGCGTGCTCTCTCTCTCCCAGGCCACTGAGTACATCCACGGACAGGAGGAACAACACAAGTAACACCATCAAGTCGGGCTGAATAGTCACACCTGGCTGAGGACCACAGGTCAGCTCTCTGAGGTCAGCCTGTAGAATCACTCTCTCGTTTTTTTCCTTTTCCTGGCCCATCCTGTCATGTACTTCTACATAATTAATATGAGCAAGTCAGTATGGAATACCCTAAACTTAATTGCCTTGTCCTGTTGGGTTGAAACCACTAAAAGCAGAAGTTATCCCTCAACGCCTAGTAACTGGCACTTGTGCTGGGATGAATCACAATTCCTGCGCTTCCCAGCCCTCATCCATTGTTCTCTGCCTGAACTGTCTTCCTCGGGACTTACGTTCATCCCCGCAATGAGGAACCCTGGTCCTAATGGAAAAGGCTTAACTTTGCCTTGGAAAGTGAAGATTGGGAGAGCCACTGGGGTATTTTAGGAGGATTAGAATTGAGGAAATATGCCATCAAGAGATTTTCCACCGAAGTCATAATTTGAGCTAATTTATGAAAAAATATGTTATAACATTTTTTAGCAATACTTAATATCTTCTTAGCTCTTAACTCCAAACCAGGCAGTGTTTTGGGTGCTTTACTTAATCCTTGCAGCAGCCATATTTACAGATATTATTATCGCCCTTCTCCACTGAGGAGACTGAGCTACAGAGAAACTTGCTGAAACCACACAGCCAGAAAGTGGCAAAACCAGGACCTGGGCCCAGACTGCCCGGCTCCAGGTGCAAACACTTAGCTACCACGTGGTCCTACCTGAGAACCAGGGGTTTTAAGGAGCAGGTTAACAAAGACTGAAATTATGGAAGCTGAAGAATCAAAAGTAGTGAATCCAAGGTAGCTGGGAGTTAATCCAGAAAGGCTCCCTTGAGAAGATAGATTTGAAGACTGTCTTAATGAGGGCTGTAGAAACAAGTACACAGGGGCGTCTACAGCCCCCAGTTGGCCAGAGTGTGGCAGGCAGGAACACAGCATCTCTGTAGCTATCAGGACATCTTCACGAAAATCATCATTTACAGGTTTTTAAATAAGCAAGAAACAAAATTCAGTCTAATAGCCAATGTTGGTAAGGATATAGAGAAATGGGGCCCCTATAGAGCTTTTGGCATTGCAGACTGGTACAACCCTATCGAAATGTAATTTGGCAATATGTCTCAAAGCCGCAAAGATCTCCATAGTCTTTGAGCAAGTAATTTTATTTCTACAAGCTTACTCTTAGAAAACAAAGCTAGAACACAAAGAGGAAGGGACCATGTGCATAAGAAGGTTTATTGCAGGCTGTGCCTGTGGCTCAGTGGGTAGGGCACAGGCCCCATATACCAAGGGTGGTAGATTCAAACCCGGCCCCAGCCAAACTGCAACAAAAAGTAGCCGGGCATTGTGGCAGGCACCTATAGTCCAAGCTACTGGGAAGCTGAGGCAAGAGAATTGCCTAAACCCAGGAGTTGGAGTTTGCTGTGAGCTGTGATGCCACAGCACTCTACTGAGAGCAATAAAGTAAGACTCTGTCTCTAAAAAAAAAAAAGGAGGTTCATTGCAATAATATTTATAGGAACAAGGCAATAAAACCTCTAGCATTTGAGATAGGTGAGGAAAACTTTATGAATGTTCCTGACATTGATGTTGATTATGAATACTGTGAGATAACATATAAAATGATTATGGGCACTGTACTGTTCAATAATATGTTTACCTAAATCTACATATGTATTGCTTATCCCCACATGAACAGAGTTGTTCACTTTTTAACAATTAGCTACCTGCAGAAAAATCCAGAAGGACAGCCATCAAAATGCAAAAAGTAATTATGATAATGTGATAGGAATATCCAAGTTTTTATTGTTTTTGACAAATTTTCTGTCCTGGGCTTATATAATATATATTTTTTTAGCAAACCAAAACAGTAAGGAGGAGGACAGCTTCTTCCTGGTACGAGGCTCCCCACACTCACCGTGAACACCTTCTCCGGGGTCCCCTTGGCCCTCATGTTGGTGTCATGGACTTTCTTGAGAATCATCCAGGCCTCGTCGTGTTTGCCCATCTGGTAAAGATCAAGGAAGGAGATGTGAAAAAGTCACCTCTGGGCTCGGTGCCTGTGGCTCAAGCAGCTAAGGCGCCAGCCACATACACCTAAGGTGGCAGGTTCGAATCCCCAGCCCGGGCCCCCAAACAACAATGATGGCTGCAACCTAAAAATAGCCGGGCGTTGTGGCGGGTGCCTGTGGTCCCAGCTACTTGGGAGGCTGAGGTAAGAGACTTGCTTGAGACCAGGAGTTGGAGGTTGCTGTGAGCTGTGATGCCTCATGGCACTCTACCCAGGGGGATAGCTTGAGACTCTGTCTCAAAAAAAAGAAACGAAACTCCTTTGATCACTACCTTCTAGAATATTTTCCTTTTATGGCCAAGCATCTTGAACAAGTATTTAAAATCACCTTTTATTTCATCATCTATTAAATCTACACAAATTAATCCTTATAAAACATGTTTCTATCATCAATGCCATTGAAATATCACACCTGAAGGTTAACACTAAACTCTTAAGCGCCAAATTCAAGAGTGTTTTCATAAAGTCAATTTTTCTTGACTCTTCTGTGACATCTGATACCACCAAGTACCCTATTCTTAAAATACTTTCCTAAGTTTTCACATTGTATTACCCTGCTCCCTAAACTCTTCTTTCCTTGGATCTCCTATTCTTACCACTCTTACTATGAACATCTCCCAGATTCAATCCTTGCTGCTTATCTGTCACCATTTTCTCCTTTGGGAAACTGTATACTATTATCTGTTTAAACTACATCCAGTACAAATATTCCCTATATCTAGGCCATCTGGAAGCTCCAGTGCCACTGGATCCAACTGCCTGGTGATCCTATTGCCAGATTAACTTCCTAAAACACCCTTTGATCATCACTGCCTTATTCTAAAACAGTGGTTTTCAACCTTTCTAATACTGTCATGTATTTTCATTGTTACAAAGGGGTCACAACCTACAGGTTGAGAACTGCTGCTCTAAAACTTTCACTTGGCCCACCAGATAGTAATCTAAAAACAAAAACATTTTCTCCCCAGTATGGGTCTTTTTGGTTTCCACAATTTTGTCTGTACTTGTTTCTTCCACTTAGAATGTCTTCTCATGCATCCTCACCAAGGCAAAAGGGGGCACACCCCACTCAGCCAAGGTGATAATGGCTCACTCCTCCAGGATGGGTTGATTTCCCGGCTGGTTTTGCCAGAAACCCAGAGTTGATCATTGGTCAGGGCTACAATGGGTGCAGACTCTGCCTCACTGCACCTATGGGCAGGTGTGCATCTAGGTGTGGGATTGGGAAACATAAAGGGAAGGCACAGTTGAGAATACAGGTGTGTCCCCTAGGATTTAACCAGATGTACACCTGAGCTTGCTTCTGTAACAACAGAAATAAAAGGTATTGCAGGAAAAAAGAAAAAAATAGTGTTCTCTTGGTTTAACTCTTTGGCTAGCTCCTATACAGATTTAGGTAAGTCTTTTACCTTCAGACTATGGTGCAATACAGATTACTTCCTTTTCTGAAATCCAAAGATTCTCATCTTGAATAGCCACTTAACTATATTATGTTTTGAGGCATCTTTTCCATTAAGCTCAATAGTCTTAAGCTCAGTAGGCTTCTCCCCTTCAATGATTCTGTCTCCCACAATATTTCACACAGTATTCAAATGTTAATTAAGTAGTAGATATTTACCATAACCAAAAGTGTACAATAAAGTTCAAGTTTCTTGGGGGCAAGTATCAATTTTAAGCAAAGAGTATGCTACATTAAAATGTTGTTGCTTCCTTTGAGAAACTTTTTTTTTTTTTTTT